TTCTGTGCCTCCTGCCCCCCCCTTCCCTGCACCCCCCTGTGGCTGCCTAGTTACTGTCGTTGGGTACTTAGCAGGCTGTGATATGTGGTTTTTTTAGTGCTCTTGGGCGGCGGTGTGCCAACAGGGCATTGAGTACATCCGGCTGCGCTTTATCCCAATAGCGACAGCTCTTAGAGGGCGAAGCCTATACGAAATAGAATGATGGTTACACACAGTAACCCAAGCTTCTGTGAGTATAGGCGTAGCCCTCTAAGCTGGCGGCCCTGCTGTCCTCACCCCCGCCGGCTGAAGAAAAAGTGCCAGTGTTTTTTCTTTTAGGGAGTAGAGCTAAGGCCGCAGTGACACCTATACTACTGCTGCGGACGCAATTGAGGACAGCCCAGTGCAGGGCACAGGGCGCGAAAGAATCTTTTCAGGACTGCGCATGCGCGAGGGATAGACCCAATAGCGACAGCTCTTAGAGGGCTACGCCTATACTCATAGAAGCTTGGGTTACTGTACGTAACCATCGTCGTTCACTCTTTGCTCTGTCCAAAAAGTTTCTAATACAGGTGTAATTTGCACAGGAAGCTGATCCCAGAGATTGAACTGATGCACAGAAGAGCTCACATTACTTGTGCTGTATATAGTCCCTGTTCTGGCTGTTAAAGATTGTGCTTTTTTACAAATATTCTTATTGAGTTCCCCATGACCATGTTATTGAACTGCTGCCAACATATGTTCCTGATGGAGCTGTAGCAACCACAGACCATATGAATGGTATGAAACTCTTAAGTGCAATGACTAGTCTTTGTCTAATGGCTTTGGATTGACTGAATCTCCAGCTGTTTGTGTTTTCCAGTCAATAACAATGATACAATGATTAACACAGCTTTTATTGCTGTGCAGGCTTCAGTGTGAGACCTGTCCCTTATTTTCCAAATGGACTTGAGAAATTTGATGTTTCTCCAGCAGCATCATTTAAGGAACTGATAGCTCCAAATGCCCATTAGTTATTTGGTTTGTACCGAGTCCTTTCAGAGTCCCCCAGTGGACTAGCAGGTTTGCTGTGCCGGTTTGTTGGTTAGTGTCAGTGGTCAGCTGCATTGCTGCCTCTATTCTTAGGTTAGATATAATCTATGTATAGCACTGACAAATGCCACAGAAACATGAACTTTTATTGGATTTGGACTGAAATAAAAAGCTTCAGACTATCCCTATATGGGGAAAATGTTTCCTAAAACAGTACAGGACAACAAAAGATTATATGACCACTATACTGTAACATCATTGATAATCATATTAATTCAGGTCTTTGAGGCATCATTTACAGCACATGTTGAAACACTTCACTGAATATATAATAATATTTAAGTTCTTGGAACAGCATCAGTAGTAGCTACAGTAATATCATTACAAGTTCCTATAAAAATCCTAAACACGGTGAACTCCTCCTGACAGGTGGATCTATTTAGCCTGTTTAATGTCAGGAGAAACAGTTTTGAGTAATTTGGAATGGCACTTTAAGTGTCCCCTGGTAAAATGATTTGCTTTGCTACTCTGTTCTTCTGCAGCACCAGTCAATGACAACGATTAGCTATAGCCCCCAGTGCTGTCTTTATCCTCAAGGTTAGATATAGCCTAGAGCCTAGCACAGTAGCAATGGAGCAGAACACTGTTTCATGAAAAGATAAAAAATATTGGTTGAAATAATCTGAATTTTGTGGGGTGTTTGACTGACAGTGTGAGTGTATGACGGTATACAATATGTAACATATTTTATATTCATTGCTATTAGATGAATAATTGAAGAAAAACAAGAAAATAAATTAACAGCAGTTTTGATAAGTAAACATTTAAAGTCATGACAGGCATTTATCACTATTTTTAGACTAAATAAGTTAAGTAATTAAAAATTCACTAAAAATGAAACTGCTTGATATTTGTAATACTGTGAATTTTAAGTTAAATATTTTAACAAAATTTTGTGAATACTTTTTTAACCTCTAAAACAGTGAGATAATTGAATACACAGACAGTATTTAAAAATCTATAATGCTCACAAATACTATGTTTATAAGTAAAATCAATATTGTAAAAAAAAAAAAGCTGAATTTAAGCAGGTTCATACACAGACTTGATAACCAAGTTATCACGATGCCATGGCACCTCTTGCTCCCTTCTCCCTTCCTCGGCTTGGCCCTTCTTGCCCTTTCCCTCACTCCTCTCTACTTGCCTCTCCTCCACGTTATCTTTCTGCCTTTCTCCTACTCCCACTCTACTCCTCAACCGCCCCCTCCTCCCCCCAGTCCATACCCCCTCCTCCTCTCTCCTCTCACCCTTTCTCCATGTCTCTTCTATGCCTCTCTATCAGGAAGAGAAGCGAGGTTCCCCAGAGGGACTGTGGTTCGTTCCCGCTGCCGCCTACACTGGCTTAATGAGGAGCCTGCGGGAAGGGGTGAGTGTCTCTGTGTATGTCTGCGTGTGTCTGTTTTTGTGTCTGTGCCTGTGTAGCTGTGACTAAGTCTCTCTCGCCGTGTGTGCCTGTGAGTATGTGTGTGTATGTATGTGCAAGCGAGTGGCAGGGGATCCCTGTGAGCAGTAATGATGAGGCAGCTGTGGGGGCCTAAAGCGTTGTTTGCCAGCTGCAAGTCAAGGGCATGCAGAGCAGTCTCACACACACATGCGTGCACACACACTCTTACCTGCATCAAACACAGCCCTTTACTGCTCTGTAGCCTGACCTCAGCAGCAATTAGGACCCTCCAGACACACACATACAGTAGATGGAGCAGAAACACAAGCAGAAATGTATGTAGCTCCTTTTTCACTGGCTTTCCCACTTTCTTTTTTGCTTTTTTATCCTCTCATCTCTTTTTCTATATAATTATACTAACCCTCTTTTATTAGTTTGGCACAAAAACCCAAATGATAAATGATCACTTTAGTTGATACAATACATTAATATAAAAAAATGACCCATGTCCCAAGTGATAAAACTGATTAAGTCCTAAAAATGTGTTCAGTGTTGGCAACATGTTTCTGATGATCAGAGACTGACCTGGTCTTATTTTGGTTTGGACCCTGTGCTTATCTTTGGCAGTAAGTACTTGTGTCATTGTAAATATGGCAGTGGGAAGAAATGTGAGGTTTTAACAATGTCTGTGCAGATTCTCAGTCATCCAGGTCATAGTAAACTCAACAAGAGGCTTCATCAGAACTCATGAAGCCTCTTGGATGAGAGGTGAAACGTCTTCGATCTAGAAATCAAGGTTTTAACAATGTTTTTGCTTGTTTATGTGTTGCTTTACTTGTGATTGAATCAAATTGTACACAGCCAAGGGCTTCCATCTCACATCTTATGATATTACAGCGGTCTTTGTAGTGTTCTCACATGCTGCTGATTGAGAAAGGTTTTGGTGACTGATAGTGGGCAGGTAGAGAAGACTGGATGTTGTTTTGTATCTGAGTTAGAAGAGGTCTTGCTGCGGTGGCCAACTATAGCAGAACAAATACATGAACTCTGGTCCACACAGTTGTCAGCTAGTACCTACTGTTGCTTCATTACCACTGGGAGTGTTGTGGGGGTAGATGAACAGAGGAGGTGTGTGAGACTACAGTGACAGAAACACAGGCGCACAAACATATATGCCACCTTAGAAACCAGACACTCATCCTTAGACCTGACCTACCTCCCTCTCTTTCCATCTTTCCCTCTCAGTCTTTTCCCCTCTCTCCCTCAACCCTGTCTCTCCCCTTACTTGCACGGATATGTACTTTTGTTCAGGTGTGTCCCTCAGCAGAATGGCTTCCTGCCAACCAGAAAAAAAATTGTTCAGGCCGAGTCAGGTGGGTCGCAGGCAAAGGGGCTCCAGAGGAGGGTCCCAGGGCACAGATGACCTTAGATGGATGATCTAGATCTTCAAATCAAATCTTGCGCTGTATTCTTTTGGCTCTGGACAAGAGAAGAGCACCAACACTGGGTCTCCTTCCTCAGTGTTGCTGTCAGTGTCCCTGCTGGAGACAGCAGCATTGCAGTACCTGAGTCTCTTGCTGCTCATTAGGTCACCATCGGCTTCCAATCTTGACCCCTCCTAGATCCTCCAGGCAGTGGACTGGAGGAGAGCACTGACACTAGGCCTCCTTCCTCAGTGCTGCTGTCAGAGAAGATGGCAGACACTTGATCCTCTCTGGGCCTCTTCCTAGATTGTCCAGGAATGGGATCTTCTGCCTCCACAGGGTTGACTTGTATGTCAGCCCGGGGGTCAGCAGCAGCATCTTCAACTTGAATGACAAGAGGGTCATGAGCAAATTATCATCTTCATCATTGCTGTGCTCCTGTTCTTCATTAAATTGCCTCAGCAAAGCAATGCCTTCATCTTCCAGTCCAGTCATTATAATAATAGAGAACCAGCCAGCCATTCCATTGATTTGATTTGATTTATTCTTTCAAGCATGTAAAGACAGTTGATATGACAACACACATGATTGTACACATAATCCAATATCAATTTGCTTATACCTAGTACATGCTTGAATGGAGTAGGAAGAAGTCAGACTTATCCAGTCCTACCCCATGACATCATCTTACCATCATTGGTTTGCAAGCAGTAAATGATTCACTTCTACACCACACAAGTATTATACTAAAAAAATTATAACAGTGTTAACATTCTTACATAATTACATTCTTAAATAATTATCTTCTACACCACACAAGTAATATACTAAAGAATTATTACAAAGTGTTAACATTCATACACCACACCCACAATGTTCCATCTAATTAATCATTGAGCCTGTTCTTGCATATATCTTGATTGACACATACCTTTATATTTATGTTTAAACTCGTCAATTCTATTACTATTTTTTATGTCTACACTTATTACTTACACTTACATTATTCCATAGTTTTACCCCACTTATGGAAATACAAAATCTTTTTTTGGTTGTACGTATAGCATGAA